CTCATTCCTTAAAATGATTACATTTTTAAGAGAAGAAATAAATTTTGAATGAAAAGTACTTTTTAAAAGAAATAAAAGAATCGTGTTGAAATTCTGAAGTTACGAATAAATCAATGAAATCCAAGCATTTGCGAAAATGCTGTAAATGCAATTTCTATGCTCAAATCGACATTTTAAAACTTCTAAAAATTGTTTGTGATCTGTAGCTTTCATTTAACACGGTGAATGCCACGCTAATTTTACATAGCTTACCCGTCTGGCCACAACGGTAAATAACTACAAACTAAATTTGCAAAAATTAGACTAATTTTGCTAGTTTTTTAGAAGGTTTAGCATGTCATACCTGTAGAAAGTGGTGAATTATATAAGCATACGAATTGTTTAGAAATAATGGTGGATAAAAATCTAATAAATTGAATTTATTAAACCAAGAATCACAATTAATAAACTACCACTTGAAAATATTTATTCGCTGTTCGGAGCAAGTTGGCATCTCTGTTTATATAAATAAAACTATTTTTGTGTGTTCTATATTGCATTAATTTCTTCAAAACATTTTAGTAGCGATAATAATACAAAAAAAAAATTAAAAATTTACTCGAATTATGCGTTTTTAATAATCTTGGCTTCGCCGGTCATCGGTGATCCCCGTGGTGCAACGAACAAACTCATTGCCGGTCACCGGTGACCCCCACGACATTCAACGTGTTAATATAGCAGAACTGCTAAATTCTGTACAGCCCCGTTAATGAAATCAAAATTGAAAAATGAATTGCGGAGAGGAGGAATATGTACTTTTTGATATTTCGAATACACCACCAAAAATTAGTATGCATTTATATAAAATGCTAAATTCATTCTAAATTTATTAAAGGAGTTGTGTACATGAACTATCAAAAATGTGCATTTCCTCCTACAATTCATATTTCAATTTATCATTTCACTACCAGGGCAATGCAGAATTTGGCAGTTATGCTATTTTGAATATCAATTGTAATTGTTTATATATTAATTTAATTCATATTTTAATCACAACCTATGATTGCATCGAATTTAATACCAATTAATGCTTAAATATCAATTGTGCTTTTTATATTCACGAAAATTTCTGATTATTGCATAAATCATGACTTATATTAAATATCAAATCATGTTTAATTTATCAAGCAAATATGCTTGATCTTCTGTAATGCTACCTAAATGCTGCATAATTCAAAATGTTTTTTAATTCAACTTGTAAATACTTCATGATGAATGGGTTAGGGGCCGCTGCGCGGCCCAGGCACCCAGTTTTAGTTAAATAAAGAGAAGAAGAAATTTATTAAACCTCCCTTCCCTTCCACCACATATTATCCAATTTAGATGAAAGAGCGGATATCCATACATGGATAGGTACTCTGAAAAAAAAGTTGATTAGTTAGTTAGTAATTTATTAAATTTATAAATCCAGAAATGAAATATAGAGGCTTAGAAAGTTGCGAATGAATCGATGAAAACCAAACATTTGTGAAGATGCAAATTCTATTCACAAATCGATCGATATTTTAAAACTTCTAAAAATAGTTTCTGATCTGTAGCTTTTATTCAAAATAGCATAACTGCCAAATTCTGCATTGCCCTGGTAGTGAAATGATAAATTGAAATATGAATTGTAGGAGGAAATGCACATTTTTGATAGTTCATGTACACAACTAGTATATTAGTATTCATTTATATATTATATATGTTTAATTTATATGTTTGGAGTGGTGGTTAAATTCAATCTAAATTAAATTTATAAGCCCGGAAATAAAACATAGACGCATAAGTATTGCTATCACTTCTATACTTGCAAAAATGACAATCATGCGTGAAAGCGAGACGGAAAAGAGGAAAAGCTGGTAGTAAACCCATTTCAGTTTTAACATGTTTTAGGGAGGAGTTAAACTATTCTCTTTTTCAATTATTCAGTTATATCTACTTTACTATAAACTAACTAATCAAGTTTTTCAGAGTACCTATCCATGAATGGATATCTGCTCTTTCATCTAAATTGAAGAATATGTGGTGGAAGGGAAGGGAGGTGCTGCGTTAACATTAAGTTAAATCTCAGAATGAACAATAATTGATAAAATCAAGTCTGGGTCATACATAAAAATAAATCGCAAGTTGATACATAATAAAGGGAACAAATTGAAGATAAAGGAAAAATATCTACACTATTTACTATTTACAATGAAATGTCTTTCGTACCAGTTTTTGCTCTTTCCCGTCTCCCTATATATAGGCTTTCAGCCCTGATGACAACTAGTGGTGGGTGTGGTTTTGAACACCGAGGAGGGACGTGTTTTTCTCAGCTCCNGTTTCTAATAATCTTGGCTTCACCGGTGACCCCCATGGCATTCAACATGTTAATATAGTATACCTGTCAACTCTCCCGGATTTTGCGGGAGATTTTATTTTCATATTTAAAGTGGTAGTAAATATATACTATTTTTTCTTTTATAAATTTAATTTTTAAATGATTTTGATCACCATTATTCTTACAAAAATTAAGTTTATATATTAATATGCGTTACTATCATGGTCAACTTAATTTTTTTCAAATACAACGTATTTGTCTGTTTAAAATTGAAGTTTTAATTCCATTTTAATACCACTGGGAAAAATGATAATGGAAGGGATTAAAAGTTGGCAGGTCTGATATGGCATAACTACCAAATTTTATACAGCTCAGTTATTGAAATGAAAATTGAAAAATGAATTGCAGAGAGGCCGCTAATGGCCCCAGGCGCCCAGATATATTTCGATGATGTAAGATTTTGATATTTCGAATACACCACCAAAAATTCGTATGCATTTATATAAAATGCTAAATTAATTCATGGAATGGTGGTTAAATTCATTCTAAATTTATAAATCCAAAAAATGAAATATAGAGGCTTAAAAAGTTGCGAATGTATCGATGAAAACCAAACATTTGTGAAAATGCAATTTCTATGCACAAATCGATCGATATTTTAAAACTTCTAAAAATAGTTTGTGATCTGTAACTTTCATTCAAAATAGCATAACTGCCAAATTCCGCACTGCCCTGATAGTAAAATGATAAACTGAACTATGAATTGTAGGAGGAAGTGCACATTTTTGATAGTTTAAGTACACAGCCAGTAATCATCATCATCATCGAAATATATCTGGGCACCTGGGGCCGTTAGCGGTCTTTTTCCCATTCGTCTTGTATTGTGGTCTTTAAGGTGGTTCTTTCTGGTAATTGGAATAAAAGGAAATTAAATATTTTGTAAATTTTTAAAATTGCGTCACTACAAAAATGAGCTGCCATCGGTCTGAGGTTTATGTCTTCTCTTAAGTTTTCAAAAGTAAAAATTTTTTTGAATCCTGCGGTTTACACAACCAGTATTATTGTATGCATTAATATATATGTTTAATTTATATGTTTGGAGTGGTGGTTAAATTCAATCGAACTTAAATTTATAAGCCCGGGAATAAAACATAGACGCATAAGTGTTGCTATCACTTTTATACTTGCACAAATAACAACTAGTAGTAAACACTTCTGATATTAACACGTAATCGGTAAGATATCATATTTCATTTAGAAGTCACAGTAAAAAAATTTTTTCTTTCATAAAATGATGTTGATGAATTAAGGAAATTTGGAATAACCCTCTTTTTTTTCGAAAAAAAAGTCAGTGTCTTACAAAAATTCACCAACCTGAGACTAATTTAAAGAAAAAAATTATACTCTTTTCTTTATTTTTAATAATTAGAAACGCTATGAGTTGAAAACTTTTGGTGTGTATGAAACGTTTGTATATATTATGCTGTGCTAGTTAAAGTAAACATCATATTTTTATTAATTTTTAAAATATAAATAACACATTTACGTCTTACATTCAAGAATTGTTAAACTACCAATTTCTTCAGTTTTTTATTTAGAGATATTTCTGACCTAAAACAATATTTTCCATATCCATTAAAAGGTTTTTATATAACAGAATTTTCCTGTGTCTAACTGTCAATTTTTGTATTCTTATAAATCCATGTTATTCTGGGTAAATAGGATACAGGCTACTGTAATTTAATGTTAATTTATTAATAACTAATCATTGCGAAAACCTTTAATACGATTGATAAAATGAAGGAAAAAAAGGAAAAATAAGAACAAGCAAATTAATGAGTCAGCAAATCTACGTAAATTAGCATGTAGGTAAAAAAAAATTAATACAACAGATAATACAACAATAAGTATGAATAAATAAACAACAATGTTTATAAATATATAAATTTTGGAACTGCTATTGACGATAAACATAATCTTAAAACTACTGAATGGTGTATAATACTATAAGGTTACCACACTCTCTGGTAGATCAGTAACCGGCCTTCTATTTTTAGAATTCTTGTCAAAAATGAAATCAAAGTGCACACAAAAATATATGTGATAAAATTTAGAAAGGAAGGTAGTGAGAAAGGGATAAACATCAAAAACCAGTTAAATTGTTGAAAAAACTTGGAGGTGTTTTTTTGTTAATCATCCTTTAATTCCTCCTTGTTTCCTCCGGCAATCAAATACTATTTGATTTCGCCTTTCTCACTAATGATCCGTCTAATTTTGATAACGTTTGAGCTTAATCCTTGATGAAATTTTAATTTGCAATTTCTACGGTGTATTTTTTTGACATTTATAATGATGATCATTAGATTACAACCTATATATTATCAACCTATATTCTTTTAACCTATATATAGACTTATGTGTTGTAAATTTACGGGTAATGCTTTTAAAATCATCAAAACAAAATGACTACTCTATCTTTAAATATAAATTTTATAAATTCATTTATCGCTAATAATCAATTAATAATTTTAGGAAACCATATCTTTCAACTAAGGTCTTTCACTTAACAAAAGGTTTTATCAAAAATATTATATTGTTGTCTCTTCTTTTAAGCTGTTTTACGATGCAAAGAAAGTAATAATGTATATTTTTTTCAGCTTCCTGATGGTATTCATGTGTTTGGTGCTAAGTGTCTTTTCTACGATATCTGAATTCGAAGAAGTTAGTAGTGCTCTTTTGTTAAAAATGGTAAGTAACTACCTTTATTTAGCTACATTTTTGTAATATAAGAAGAAATTTATGAGAGACATCCTACAAAAATACGCACAATGAAAATTAAGCATGTGATAGCACGATCAATTTTATTACACACGGTATAAAAAGTTTCTTCGCTTGAAAGAACGTTTTGATAGTATTTTATTTCTGAAGATTAAATTTAAAATACTTTATTTTGATTTAGACTCTTTGAAATTTTCTTTTATGTAATAATTTGTGTTTGCAATACAGATTTGTTCATAATCCTCTACGTGTTCCATAAGGCTGTAATAAAAAATACAACAAGAATGAACCTTGAAATAAGTACAGAAAGCGATCAAGTTTTTCCCACATGATACAGGAACTTGATATAAACCAAGGTTTGTATTCTACTTAGAGGAAGAACAGTTGAAGGGCTTAGGGTACTCAAAAGAAGAGATGAGGAGCTACTATTTGTGCAAAATATCTTACGTAAGAATATATCTTTGTTGTAATAACAGCATTAGAAAAATAATTTTTGACGTAGGCACAAATATTTGCTTTATGTAATAGAACCACTGAATTAACCAATCACATTAGCAGATTTTCCGCAACATTTTTTACGTCAACATAAAAATATTTCAAACATTCCTATTTTATATATGTATTAATTTTGAAACAGTTATAAATGTTTCGTTGTTTCATTAGCGTATTTCAGGTTTGCTCAGGAGCTCAGGTTTACTCAGGTTTGTTTTTGGAAAGCAATTTAACACGTTCACGCCGGGGTGACCCACCGGTGGGTCACGCTAAATTGTCTCATCTTGGCGGCACACCAGAGTAAAAACTGGTAACAATAAATTTCATTTTTTAGTTTTTTTCCGGGAATAATAAAAATCCATAACTACCAATTGTTTTAAACGGATGCAGCTTTTATATTGAATTGCTTCTTCGCCGTGATAAATTTCCTTACAGTGAATTGTTATTGTTGAGAATAGATTAACTCCTCTCGAATATTATCTAATATTGAAATAGTTCTTCTACAAGTATTTACTCTTTTCCCGTACCACTGTTTTCACTTTTCCCGGCGTGAACGTGTTAATTGGTAAAAATGTTGCGCATTACTGTTCTTAAATTAGGAAACCATCTTCACACAATTAATGGAAAGAACTATAAACAAGAAGTAGACTTCCCTTTGACCAAATAGAATTCATACCTGGCAATAACATTCATGAAACTCAGTTCTAACTCTTACATAGAAAATGGTTGTTTGACCGCACATATTTACCGTTTTGGTTTGGTTTCTGATCCACACTGTTCCATCTGCCATGATCAGTTTGTCATGGATAGTCACCATAGTATCTATTGCAGTACTCTTCATAAGATGACTTTCACCTGGGAAAAAAGGGGACACATAAGGAAATGACTTTTTCATGTTTTTGTTCCTTTTGTGATTTGCCGAGCTGTCAATCCTTTGCCATTAAAGATAAACTATTTCTAAATTGGCATTCAAATAATAATGATTCTTCAATAAAAGTTTTGGGGAATTTGAAAGCATCGATTAATTAATCATCTTCTTATCTTTATATGATTTATTAAATTTTCCTAATATATCCAGTGAAAAACCAAGGTCACATAACCGATCATCATAATCTAATTCAGGGATAAATTCTTTATCTTTCATAGCATATTGCATATTTATTTGTTCCCTTAAAAAAAACTTATAAAATATTTTCCATGAGTTAGCCATCTGACATTGATAAAATATGCGATGCTACCATATTGAGAAGATAGATCACTGAATCTATCACTGATAGATCACTACCATATTGAGAAGATAAATCAATACATTAAATTTTGAAGAGAATGTGAGAGAGCTTAGATAATATTTTTTACATATGCTACTAAAAACAAAAGTTTCAATAGAAAATTAAAATCAAATATAGCTGGATAGAAAATATAAAAGAACTCGGCGGGAAGCACTGTTTAACCTAACGGGTCATTAAAAGTCACATCCAGTTTAGATTGTGAATCTAAAACTTTCAGATATTCAAAAATAGAGGGGTTAAGGAAAGAAGCAATAGCTTTGAAAATGTATCTAAAAAAACTTTAATAACTGAAAAAGTTAAAAATATTTTTTTTTATTTTTATATAAAAAAAATATGCAACCTTTCGCGGCAAAACATGAAAAAGGCTTTATTAGTTTTGTAAAAGAACAATGTATTCCAAATACTGATCGAATGTTTCAATTCTTATTTGAAAGACTAATTCTACATAGTAAAATTTGAAAGATTGTAACCAGCAATAAGATTAATTATATCCAATCTAAATAATTATATTTAATTTTTGTTCAACAGTATACAAAAGAACTCGTATCGGGAAAAAAATCAGTTTTAGAAAAACATGATTTTTAAAGTAATTACATAAATTTAAGCATACTCGCAATTATTTATGATAAGTAAAAATAAGCAAAATGAAATAATTATTATAAAAATATGCTACTGTAGTAGCATTACTTAATGGCTTAGTATAAAATATAAACTTTCAGTAAATTTTTATTTCACACATGATATTTAAAAATATATACATTACTTATCCATTTGTATAATTTAATTCCCAATTCCAATTGTTTTCGCAGTTTTAACTTAAGAATTTTCAATTTATTTCATAAAAAAATAACAAATAACAATTCAAATTCTCATTATAATATATAATTTTAAATAACAATAAAAATTCTTATATTCTATAGTTAAATTCTTATAAATTGATATTGTATTTACAATCACTCATCCCGAAAACAGATACTCATTTATCAGTGCTACGATAATAGTTTTTTAGCCATCGCCAATATGATTCGTATTCACCTACATATTGGATTAACCGCAAAGAATTTTGCAAATCTAACTTCATATTCGTTATAAGTGCTCTCCAAAACACTAAAAATTACATAAAATATAAAGCTTTAAATTATAGCCAACGATTCAACCATTGATTCAAACCATTTCGATTCAGACCATTGAGAAAGGCAGAGTCTCCTAGTGTTTTAAAAAGCAAAAAATAGAACATCATTTCCCTACTTCATTTTTCTTTGATCTGAACTCTCTAAATAACTTAATTTTCTTTCACGTAATGTTAAAGTTAATTTTTTATATACTATATCAAAAACATTATTCTATTATTGTTTTTCTTATCGGAAAATTATAATTCAAAAATATGAATCAAATGTTTAACCATTGGTAAGGTATGTCGAGTCTAATTTAAAATTAACAAATAGATACTAGTGGTTTATTATTTTTAAGTTTGTGTTAAGTTGTTAAGTTGTTTATTATTGTTAAGTTAAGTTATAAAGACGAAAATCACACATCATTGTCGAATTCAAAGTTCTAAATTTAACACCGAGGTACATTGTGTCATTATATTTAAATCTGATTGCAGAAATGTTAGTTTTTCACAAAAGATTTATTGCATGAGTCCTAATCGCACATGCGAGGTAAGGAAATTACTTTTGTTTTAAAACATGAAGTACATGAAGAACACGTGTTTTAAAAATATTTAATATTCTATTGAAAGCGGTGTTCCAAACGAATACCGCAATGCTTCAACTCTAATCTTCCGAAACTTTAATGTAAGTTTACGAACGTATTCAACTAAACTACTGCGTGGTGTTGGTCGTAAGATTATCAAACACGAGTTGAATGCCTGGAGCAACTATTGACAGAACACGATTAGCTTGAAGAACGAGGTAGTCCAATGCAAATAAGGCTTTATCCTGAAATTCTTCGATCTCAATGCATATTAATGCGCTTTCCTTTTGAAAAGTTGACTTACGAAAATGGAGAAAATCCACGAATATTTTATTCAAACTTACAATTTTTGGGGTGTAGGAATGTAACGTTTTTCACCAACTTCTTCAGGCGAAATAAAATGGTGTGTGGCGTTAACTTGTTTAATGTTAAATAATGCATTTTTTTACTCGAAAAATGGAAATCAAACTTTGAAAGCAAACCTTTGATTTTTCGATTTCCATTTTTCGAAAAAAAATTCATTTTTTAACTTTAAACAAGTTAACGTCACACATCATTTTCGTTCGATCTCCACTGGCCGAAGACTCTCCGTGTAATAAATGGTGATTGGCCCAAGTTAAATCTGTCGGGTCACAAAGTCCTCCGTGTTCTCATAACAAATTAATTCCAACCGTACTAAATTTTAGATTGAACGTTCTCTGGTTCAGAACAAAATTACGATTTGTGGATGAATGAATGGATGCATGAATGGGTCCTCCCTATAAAAGGGCTGTGGCGCATGTGTGTCGCAGAATTCGAATTCTTAGCCATAGATGGCGCAACTGGAAAACAAGAAGAAGTGCACCCCTTTGTCTTAATGGCACGCGAAAGCAACAATTTCATAATTATAAAAAAAAAATATTACATTTTATCCCAACTAGCATGAGCATAATGTATATTTATGATTCTGTCTTCTTGTTTTTATTACTTACTGGAATTTAGTTTTAAACTCCAAAAAGGAAACTAAATCCATATGAATAATAATTTTTTAATAACCACTGGCTCAAACAAAGCTGTCAACTTCTCTGGCTCCCCAGATTTTTTTCCAAAAGAAAGAGACAGCAAATTTTAAGCTGTAAAATTTAATTTGAAATATATAGCGCAACACTGTAATCTTTAAAATAAACGACAAAAATGGTGTAAAATTCTGTTATAACAGCAATTCATAATAACAGAGAAAATCGATTCATATAATCTTGTCGTAATAAGCAAATACACATTTAAACAGCCAAAAAACATTGTTAAAACAATGAAATAGACATATGTATCTTTTTTTTGAACAATTATTTCGAATTAAAATATATAATTAGAATAGACTACTTTTGTCCATAAATTGCAAACTAAATTACGTAGCTCTGTACAAAGCGACTGGAATGCTTGGACAAAAAAATTTCCATATAGTAAGAATTCTTTGCTAGGAGAAAATAAAATGTTCGTTTTTTCACTTTTCTGTAC